AGGGCCAATAACACATTGGTGGAAAATGACTTTTTTGTTTGTAGCATTTCAGAACAGTAATACTTTATTGAAAGCTAAAATATTTTCGATCTCATTTTTTGTAAATGCTAGAGATAATAATAACATATTATAGTCTCAACCAAAGTTATCTGCAAAACAAATATGTTAGAAGATAAGGCAAAAGTGATTGAAAGATGGACTTCATTGGTCCCCAAAGAAACATTCTTAAGGGGCCCGTTTAAAATTGGGCGAAAGTAACAGGTTAGCATTGTCACCAGCAAAAATAAGGTTTTATTTAAAGGCTGGCCCAAGCATCTGTGGGATCCTGTGCAAAATTACAATTTTGGGCCCTCTATTTCTGCCAATGATATTTATTGCTGCAATCAAGAAGTCCAATGATTTACATGGGTATAATAAACTCACTGAAGCTCTGGCAGGGCCGTTTACGGTCCTTTTTTAAAAATGCATTATTTATTGTTACTGAAAGTAATAAAGTAAACTAGTATGTAGATATTTACAGTAAAAGTGTCATGGGATTTATGCCTCTGGCTGCAACATGTGCAATAAGAACCTTTAGTGCGGGAACAAAAATAGACAGATAAAATATCATTGGTAGATAAAACAATTAGTACAAAAATAGACATTATTTCAACAAATAAAAAAAACAAAAAACTATGGAGTTTATTTTTATTCTTCAAAAATAAGTTTGGTTAGTTTACACTGGTTATTCCTTGTCTGTGTGTCAGTCTGGCCCCATGAACAACCTTTTTTTTCCCACAAGAATAATTAATGATTTCTACATCTTTAAAATATATTGATGTAAAAAAAAAATCAAACAGCTTTATAATGAAATTGTGTGTTGTTTCTGTATTCATTAAAAAAAAAATTATTATTCTTGGGGAATTCTAGTTGATATATTGGGTTGTTTCTTTTGAATGCATCAACAAAAGAAAGCAAAGAGGAAATGTTGCTTTTTTTATTTCTCTATTAGTTCATTTTAGTTTTACTTTATCAACATAGCAGCTTTTATTAACATGTTAAATGATATACAATAAATATATTATATTATAATTATATAATATAATTTAAGCATGAATTATACCACTTTAGCGTTTTCAGTAAAATATCAGTCCAAGCTTACTTTAACACAAATAAAAACTACTTAAAATGTGCCTTAAAAATGCTGATTAGGATGTATTTGCTAGTGTACAATCAGTTACATTCCTGCCTTAAGGTAAATGTTGGGTTGGAAACTTTGGGTGTATCCTCTTTAACAGGCAACTTCATGTCTGCAATGCCTACACATACAGTAATGTTTAGTTTTCTGTCCATTAGTCTTGTTTTCTTTCTCTGGGGTCATGTTTCAGCATGGGTACCACAATAATTTGTGCATTTTATACGATTAAATAAATATTTGATTAATCTCTAATTGAAAAGAACAATGTAAAAAAAGAACTATAAAGCAAAAACAGGGGTGAAAACTATTGAAGAAAAAACGAGATGTCCAGTAACCTGAAAAAAAAAAACTTCCCTGGTGCTTTTGGTATACGCTACTGCCGCCCCCTTGTGGACAAAAGGGGATATTACATCAGGGCAACTTAAAGCAAAAATGTATTTCTCCAAAATTACAACAGCGATTTTTCTTCAAATTGTTAAATAAGTGGAAACTAGACTTACGGCAATAACAAAAATATTTACCTAAAAGTTAATAAAATGATCTGTTTTCTTTTTTTAAATTAATTTTAACAAAAACTTGTTAAATAAACCACATGATGACCATTTCTATAATAAAGCCTATTTACTAAAAAAACAAAACAATCAGGTTTGTATATTTAGTATTAATAAAGTATACATACTCAAAATAATGTTAATTGTTGTATTGATCTGAATACATTAAGTTAATTGTTGGAATTGGATAGTGGTAACCCTGATGCATAAATACATAAACCTGAAAATTATGTATTTTAAATAAATAAGCTATAATAAAGTCATTAATATGCATATTATAAATGCATCATATAACAAAATACTTGTTAATTGATGTGTTCTCTGCTTAATATTGCTATAAGCTTGCATTTAACCTACGTATATTATATGTGGAGCTTAAAATATATATATCGTATATCCTATATTAGGGCTGCAACTAATGATTATTTTGATAATTATTTTGATAATGGATTAATCTGTCGATCAGATAGTGAAAGGTTCCTTAAGGAAGACTTTATACAGAAATAAACCATGTCAAACTTTTTGACTTGTGGAGTTTTGGATAGAGCATATTGACAGAAGAGAATTTATTATTTATCTTAAATGTAAAATATTTATATATTTTTTTCACCATGGTATAACTGCTGCTCTAAGTGGGTTGCTACATATATATATATATATATATATGTGTGTGTGTGTGTGTGTGTATATGTATATGTATGTTTGTGTGTGTGTGTGTGTGTGTGTGTGTGTGTGCGTGTGTGTGTATATGTATAGCTGTATGTAGGTCAAGCAAAGTTAAGTTGATGTGGAAAAACAGGGTCACAACAACAAACAAGGTAATCCATAGGAGTCCGATGGGATTTGTAGTCCATGAAGTATACTGCATGTTTGCTAACATATTTACTGTACCGCTGTCGCCGGTCATGATTTACTATGCTTTGCACTGATATAAATCTATTTGGCTAATAATATAGACATATTGTGAGTACTGTCCTGTGTTAACCTGAGAAGAAAAGCCTGAAGGAAAGTCTCAGTGGACAGCAGCGCTGAGGCCGGAAGCAGGGCGGGACCTTCGCCCCTGTATAAACATGGCCGCCGTCAAGTCCTTCGCAGCGTCAGGTACTGCGCTGCTTTAACAGTTGGACTTTAAGGAAGTAGCTGGTGGGGAACTTATGCAGTAACAGGTGTAAAGAAAAAAATGTAGGCCATTAAGCGACGCATTTATCGATCTTTACGGTGATTTATCCGCGTGGGAGCGATACTAACAAACTTAATTTAGTAGTTTGCGTTAGCTAGCTAAACGAGCTAACGCCGAAGTCTTAACGTTAACTTCTGTCAACTTATTTTTAGCTAGCCACAAACTGACTTCTTATCGCCATGGAGGAGTGTCGTCGTTCACCCGGAGGAACTCGATGAATATTTCACACACGGAAGGTCTGGAATAAGTAAGCGACTGACTGAGGAAAACTTTCGGGGATTTATTTCCTTTCACTTGCTGGGGCGAAGCAATTGTTATTTTTCTGTTTGAGGACCAGTCACAGAGCGGAAAAACAATGTTTTCTGCCAAACCCATGAAACCAACCTTCAGGAGTTATCTTCCTCCTCCACAGGTCTGTTTGTATTCTGTCATAATTTTAGAAAGTTTACATTTTAAATGTCATGTGCTTAATTCGGCGTGAAAATTCTGCTGTTTACAGTAAGCTGAAGTAGTGGAATGTGTTGCTTTGTTTTTACACATCTTCCTTTTTTGTGCTTGGACTATCTTGGGACTTTTAAATTGAACGTGTTTTTTTTTTTTATTGCACTTTCACAGTTATTTAAAAGAAAGAGAACAACATATTAAAGTACAGGCATGTTTAAAAACCCATTCGTTTTTGTCAGTAAATGTTCCACGTGAATCAGACTATTTCCTAAAACATCAGGATCTAATGTTCTTCATTCAGTGGACAAAAAGTTGAAAAATATGCTATTTTTATGTTTATGAACTATTAAAAAGCATGCACGTTGGTGCACTTTTTCTGTGTGAAGTGACGCATAAGGAAACGTGAAGCAATTACTTTAATGTAGGCCTATAAACTGGGCTTTCACTCCATCCAGACACAGTATTCTGTTATTTTCTTGATTTAAAATAGTTTATGCCTATAGAAGCACAAGCATCTCCATCTTTTCTTTTTGTTAAAGTTATTATTAAAAATAATTATAAAAAAAAACTCTAAACAAAAGTTTTAGTAATTGATATTGGCAGATAAGGGCTCAAAGAAAAATATAAATGGATGTAAGCCAAGAAAAGTCGGTCAATCTCTATTTCTAAGATCTCCAAGTTGCTTTATATTTTTTTTTAATCAGGTGAGATAACTTAAGCTTGTATGCATACAGACTTTGTTCACGTTAGGAGTGAAACAATTTGATTTATCGATTGACAAATCATCAACTAATTT